TGCTCTGCTCATTAGTCCTTGTTTGCAGATCGCTGATTAGGGCTGGGGGCTGTCGGGCGCTGGGCGGCGAATGCTGCTTCCAGCCCCCTGCTCCCCAGGGCCAGGCCAGCTGCCCATGGACATATAGCTGCACCCAGTGCTTTCACTACCACCCCAGCCAGCCCCGAGCGAGAGGGGCTGAGGTCTGCAGAGACAGCCCCAGGATTTCCACGCAGCCCTAAAGCCTCCGGCTGCTGCGAGGTGGAAAGACGACCCTCGGCTATGAGTTACAGCAGCCTTGGGGCTGCTCGGATGCCCTCCCTGTGCCCTAGTCGCCACTGCCACCAACCAGTGCTTGGGCATCCCTCGCTTTCTCAACCCCCTGCCCCTATTTGCCAGTCACCCAAAAAGCTCATCAGTGCAGGAAGTGGGGAAACTGAGGCACGGGGGCTCTGGGTGCTTTGGGAGCCAGGCCCATTCATTAGGGGTCTGCAGGCAGATGGGAGTGACCCAGCGGGAAGGCTGTGGCCTCATGCACACCCTGCATCAAAAATGTCTGAGATACTTGGCACCAAAGCTGGCACTGCCGACCCCTCCCAGCTGAGCATGGCACTGCCTGCCATGTGTCATGGGCTCTGTACTGCCGTCGCCTGCCGCAGACTCTCCCCTTGCCTGAGCACACAAGCCCGTGTCACTTCCCTGGCGAGGGCCATTCGCAGCAGGGCTGGGGGAGCTGTGACCCCCCCGGCTGCGGGGGACGCAGCACGGCCTGCCTCTGTGAGGCGGGGAGAGTCTGTGGGGGCAGCTGCAGGCTCTGCACCTCACTCCCGACCCCCAGCCCTGGGTCTTGTGCACTGATCTCATTCCTCGGCCTGGGAGCCTCCCACTATTCCCATCTCTCGCGGTCCCCCTTGCTCAAGGGCCCTCGAGTCCAGCAAGGCTGCACGAGCCTGGAGACCTGGCAGGAAATCCCAGCACTTCTCAGCCTGGCTCAGCCCGGCGCCCCTTGCAAAGCAGAGGCTATGTGGGCATCTGCTCTCCTTCGAGGTCCTGGCCCCCATGCTCTGGCTCCAGCAGGACGTCACTGGCGTGGGGACGACTGAGCACCTGAGGCTCCCTGAGGACCACGGGGAACTGGGCTCCCTTGATTCTGCCCAAAGTGGGGGCTGCTATTTACTGTCTCTTGGCATCTGGGGAACATTAGCCCTTTGCATCGTAGATTATTGCAAAGCCTGGGGCTCTGGGGCAGGCAGGACAGGGCCACGTGGCTTTCCCCTGCTCCCATCTAACCCCCATCCCCTCCTGTTTGGGAGGGGACAGGCCGCGGATACCCTGCGTGGGTCGTGGGTGAGATGCACACGCTGCGCTCTCTCCCCCACACCTGACTTGACCCGGGCTCTTTTTTTGCTGCCCTGGCCCCGCGACCAGCCTGAGCTGCCTTCTGGGCCACGGCTGAGCTGGCGTGGGGTGGTTTGCATTCCTCCTCCCCCCACTTGCTGAGCTGGGCTAATCATGGCTTTTAGTAAGGCCAAACAATGGCCCTATCTCCTCGGTCCTGCTCAGCTCCGGGGTTTCAGCTTTCATAAACCGCCGGGCAAATATTTGCCTTGGAGGCCAGAGCAAATCGCCGGGGTCTATTTGGTGGGGGGGGGGGGGGGGGGACCTTGAAGCAGGTGTGGGAGTGCGCCTGGCCCAGGCAGTGACGTGCCCTCAGCACCTGGGCACTGGGAGGCTGGCACGGCGGCACTGGAGCCCTTGGTGGGTGACCTCCTTGGGCAGCCGGTCTGGCCACCCGGACTCCTGGGTTCCCTCCGTGGCCAGAGGGGCCTGGTATTTCGCCCCCAGGGGCTGGGCAAAATCAGGACTTCCGAGTCCCGTTCAGCTTCCATAGGTTCAGGTGAGCGCTTCCCCCCTGTGCCTCAGTTTCCCCTCTCAAAATGGGCAGGCACAGGGGTTTCTGGAGGCCCCAGCTAGACATGGGATGGGGCAAGGGTCTCCAAAGGGGCAAGGAGACCTGGGGAGGAGAGGACCTGCTGGTCACAGCCTGACCCAGCAGCCAGGGCAAGGCCTGGGGCTGCAGGTCAGGAGTGAGGGGCGCTGCTGCCCAGCTGCAGCTGAGGCTGGGGGGGAGCCGTGGGGCCGCACCGCCCCCTGGTGGCACTGGAAAAGCCAGCGGCTCGGCCAGCCCCCGCCCCTGTCCCCTCCCCGCCTCAGTGATGCTCTTTCCCCCCAGCCCGCTGCAGCTCGCCCACACGCAGCGGGCATCAGCGCCGATGGAGTTAGGACTTCAGCTGCCACCTCAAACTCTGCCCGGAGCTGCCAAGATGCTTGGGCCAGCCCCAGCCCTCTCTGCCTGGACCCTGTAGCCCGGTGAGCCCCCCTCTGCCCCCTGCCCACCCAGGCGGGACCCTCCAGACGAGCAAGGCTTGGAGCACCTGATGCCCTAGTGATGCGGATGCCAGAGCCGCAGGGCCAGGAAGAGCAGGGTGCCGGAGCCTCAGACCAGGGGAGTGGGGTGCCCAAGCCCCAGAGCCGAGGGGATTGTGGTGCTGGAGCCCCAGGACCAGGGGAGTGGGGTGCCCAAGCCCTAGAGCTGAGGGGATTGTGGTGCTGGAGCCCCAGACTGGGGGAGTGGTGTGCCCAAGAGCTGAGGGGATCGTGGTGCTGGAGACCCAGGACCAGGGGAGCAGGGTGCGCAAGCCCCAGAGCTGAGGGGATCGTGGTGCTGGAGCCCCAGGGCTGGGGGAGAACGGTGATGGAGCCCCGACCCTGGGGAAGCAGGGTGCCGGGCTGCAGGGAGCAGGGTGCTGGAGTCCCAGAGCCGGGGGGAACAGGATGCCAGAGCTCCAAAGCTGGGGGGAGCCAGGTGCTGGAGCTGGGGAGGGGGGGCAGGCTGCTGTGGGGAGCACCGGCGCATTCACAGGAGCTGGAGTTAGGAGGCGAAGGGGCTGCTTTCCATGCAGGCAGCCGGGCAGGCATGGGGGGTCCAGTCCCTGGACGTCACGCAGGCAGAGCGGAGAGGGGGGCTCTGGCTGCGAGCACGTGCGTGTGAGCAGGTGCCCGGCTGGGTGTCTGAGACCCAGCCTGATTGCCAGCTCCCTGGGAGCCGGCCCCGGGGATGTGGGCGCAGGGGGTGCCGCGTGGCCGGTGGGACGCAGCAGGGCAGGGTGCGGGCTCCTGCCCCCTCCGGCTCTGCTCGTGGCCGTGGCAAGGAAGGAAACTTCCCCGGCCGGCTCCAGGTCAGCGTGGGATGCTACATGCAGCGCTGGGGCCCCGAAGCGCCAGTGGCTCTTCTGGAGGGGGTGGAGGGGACCGTGCCCCAGCTGGAGAGGGTGTCCCCGTTGAGCCGCGCTCTGCTCTGTCGTTCCAGCGCCTCCCCGGGCGTGCTGCCGCGGTGCCGTGGTGCCCCTCGTGCAGGTAAGGCACCGGTTGTGGGGAGGTGGGAAACTCCTGCCAGGACCTGGCTGGTCCCGTTCACCGCCCCCCTCCCCAGCCCCTGGCCGGGTTGCTGAGCTGGAAGGAGCTGGGGGGCAGCCGGAGGCAGGGAGCTCGCACTCCCGACGGCTAGGAAAGCTCATCCAGTGTTTGGGCAAGATGCGACACCACCACCCCCTGGCTTCCCCCCCCGTGGTGTGGCGAGGGCAAGGGCCGACCCTGAGGCCACGAGCCAAGGCTGGTGCCCAAGGGACTGTGGGGCGAGAAGGGCCCCGACCCCCCTGGTCCAGCTGGCACGTGAAGGGAGCGGGCGGAAGCCAAGTCAAGCAGAGACAGGGCTGAGCAGGAGCTGGAGGCCTGCAGGCTTGGCCCAGAGAGACCAGGAGGTTTGGGGGAGCGGGTGGGCACCTCCAGAAAAGCCGGGTGCGGCGTTGGTGCAGTAGTGAGGGGCTGCTCTCGCCTGCGGCCCAGTGCGGTGCTAGGGGCAGCCCGTCGTGGGCAGGGATGGACGTGCCCCTGAGGGCCAGACCCATCCAGTGGCACCCTGGGCAAAGCCCCGCATGGTCCAGCCTCCCCGCACCATGGGGCTGAGGCCAGACCCTGCACGGGACCAAGGGGGGCAGGGGGTTGAGCTCTCCAAGGGCTCCCGGGCACTGAGGCAGGGGGCTGCCAAATCTGGGTCTGCATTAAGAGCATTAGCTCTTCCCGGCTGCTGTCTGTGCCCTCGATACCTCCACGGGCAAAGCCAGACCCCCAGCGTGGTGCTGAGTGGGGGTGGGTGGTATCGGGTACGTTTGGCAGCCCCGAGGCAGCTCCGTGGAAGGGGAAGGGAGCAAGAGGAGCCTGCTTAGCTGAGCTGAGCCCAGGGGTTGAAGCCGACAGAGGTCTGGGGTTGCAGCCGTGGCTACAGCCGAGAAGCAGGGACTCGGATAGAGATTCGGTCACTCAGAGCTGGCCCGGGGCCCCCCTGGCTCCAGCAGCTGGGTGGGCCCAGGGCAGGCGTCTTGCATGGAGACGGGCTGGGAGCACGTGGGCTGCTCGCAGCATCTCCCCCATGCCCGTGAGTCTCGTTGCAGCCAGAGGCCATGTATCCCTACACCAACTGCACCAGCCTGGCACCCCCTCGCGACTACCTGGCCCAGCTGGAGGCCGACGTGCTCTGCAATCAGAGCCACGTGGACCCGGAGGACATGACCCTCACGGAGGACGAGCTGCGGGACAAGTACCTGGGGCCGCGGCGGTCCAGCTTCTTCGTGCCCGTCTGCACCACCTACCTGCTGATCTTCGTGGTAGGCGCTGTGGGCAACACGCTGACCTGCCTAGTGATCCTGCGGCACAAGTTCATGCGGACGCCCACCAACTACTACCTGTTCAGCCTGGCCGTGTCGGACCTGCTGGTGCTGCTGCTGGGCATGCCGCTGGAGCTGTACGACATGTGGAGCAACTACCCCTTCCTGCTGGGCGCGGGCGGCTGCTACTTCAAGACGCTGCTGTTCGAGGCCGTGTGCTTCGCCTCCATCCTCAACGTCACGGCCCTGAGCGTGGAGCGCTACATCGCCGTGGTGCACCCGCTCAAGGCCAAGTACGTGGTGACCCGCAACCACGCCAAGCGGGTCATCGGTGCCATCTGGGTGCTCTCAGTGCTCTGCTCCATCCCCAACACCAGCCTCCATGGCATCAGGCCGCTGTATGTGCCAGGCCGGGGCATGGTGCCCGACTCAGCTATCTGCATGGTGGTGAAGCCGCTGGTGCTCTACAACCTCATCATCCAGATCACCACCATCCTCTTCTTCTTCCTGCCCATGGGCACCCTCAGCATCCTCTACCTGCTCATCGGCCTGCAGCTGAGGAAGGAGAAGATGCTGCAGAGCCTGGAGGCCAAGGCGGGCGGGGACAGCGACTACCACCATGTCCGAGCCCAGCAGAAGAAGGTCCGGAGGAGGCAGGTGACTAAGATGCTGTGTAAGTCTGTGGGCCAGACCTCCAGCCTCCTGGGGCTTCACTGGGATGACTCGCACCCCTCTGAGCTGCAGGGTAGCTGCCCAGCACTCGGGACATAAAGATGTCTGGGCAGTGCCACCCCGCACCTCGTGGGCTATGGGAGGAGGAGGCTGAAGTCCAGATGTGGGCTGAGGCTGGGATGACACCTGGCCTGTGCAGGTGTCCAGCATGGCAAGGGGGGTGCGAGGGGGACAGCAGATGGCATAGGCTAGCTCAGCCTGGGCACTACCCAACCTCCCCATGGGAGGGTTTGCAAAGGGTCTTTACTCCCATAATGGCAGCATGATGCCGGGAGTGAGGGGTCTCAGCGGGAGCTCATCCCCTCCAGGCAGGCTCTGCCTTCACACCCACATCTCCGGGCACATGGTGCGTGCATGCGCTCCTGGTGGCCTGAGCCCCAGGCAGGGTCTGTGGGGTGCACAGCAGCCCCAGTGCAAGCCTTCAGCCCCTGTCAGGCCCAGCCCTTGCAGCCTGCATGAGAGAGGACGGCCAGGGGGCTCAGGAGGCTACTCGGTGCTGTGCCCCCGGCATCCGTACAGCCCAGCCAGGAGCAAGGCTGCAGTAGGGACCTGCTCTGGAGATGGCTGTGGGGGTGGGGGTGACAGACCAGGCCCTGTGGTGCCCCCCACACCAGCCAGGTCTGCACTGCCTGGCATCCCATGGCTCCAGCACCCAGCAGGGGCCTCGCTCCATGCTCGGGTGTATAACTGAGACACCTTGGGCCAAACAGGGTGTAAAGCCTCGTTGCCCCATGCAAGATGATGGAGCTAAGCCCATGCACACCCGCTGCGGCTGTAGTTCCAGCCCGTGTGTGAGCACCAAGCTGCTTTTGCATGCTGCTCCCTTGTGCCAGGGCAACAGGTGCAGGCGGGAAGTCACAGCGCCCCTAGGCTTCTCCGTTAGCTTGATCGCAATTAAAACAAGGCAGAATGGCCAGCGGGCACAAAGCTGTGTGGAGAGATAAGAGACACAGGCCTTGCCTCACTGCTTGGTCCTGCCTCCTGTTTCCCTAACCAGGAGCTGCTCCTGGGTCTCGGTGCTGCACCATGCTAGAGCGGAGGGTGTGGGGGTTGCAGCCAGGCTGCCTGTAGCTGCAGCGCTCAGGTGAAGTAGGAGCTGGGCGCATCGCGCTGTTGCAGGAAGACCAGGGAGGTAACTGCAATGCAGCGCTGTAGCAGAGACGCCTCCATCCCACTGGCTTTGCTGGGGGACACCTGAGGACGAGTCTAGAGCGGGGGGGGAAGGCAGCACGACCTAGGTCTGTCGTAGATCTGGTGCCATGCTGGGCAGAGATGCCCATGGGCGAGGTGGTGGGGTGTTGGGCACAGGGGTGAGCTCCATAGGGGCACCCGATTCCCAGGTCCCCGTCTGCACTGGCCAGCAGAGATGGTCAAGCAGGCAGGGAAAGGGTGCACTGAAAGACCCTGGCTGCTTCCAGCAGAGAGCTGGAGATAGTGGCCCCAGCCCCGAGCCAGCAGCCCGAATCTGGGAGCGGAGCCCGGGGTCACCAGCACGATTGCTTCATTAATGAAGGGCTGTTTAATCTCGCTAATCACGGTGGCAGCCTTCCAAGGCAGCAGGGTTTGCCAGGTGTGCTCGGCTGCTACTCGGATGCAACCCAGTGCAGGAAGCCTTGCCTCCCCGAGCTCCCTGCCTCCGTGCGCCGAGCCGCAGGGCTCCCTGCCCCAGCTGGGCCACAGCTCGGGGGCCTGATGGCAGGGCGTGGGCCTGCCGAGACACAGACACGTGGCAGAGCGATGTCTGGAGCAGCCCTGGCAGGCAATGGAGGGGGAGATCCTAACCAGACCCCATGTCCCTGCTGCAGCACTTCCCCGGAGAGCAGAGCCACGGTCCCCGGGGCAAGCAGCACGCCTCTCGTCCTCACCAGGACAGTTGTAGCCAGCCACTAATCTTGCCACACTTTATAAACCACCACAGCCTTCTGCCCACACACAGCAGCCGTCCCAGCTGCTCGCTAGTGCCCCCAGCACTGCTGGCTGGCAACATCTGGGCAAGGGGGTGGTTCACATCTGGCTGGAGTGGAAGTATCTGCAGCCCCATCCCCAACCCTTAGCCCTGTACTGGGGAAGGGAGGTGGCAGCAATATAGCCACATTGATTTGGCTGCACGGCCTCGCTCCTTCCCCTAATGCAGTGCAGCACACTTGGCAGCATCCTTGTGCTTGCCCCCCCACCCCGCACCGGTGCTGAGCATTGTGGGATAGATGCCGTAGGAGTGGAGGCCACGTTCACCAAACGATCCTGGAGCCACAGTGGGGCGGGAGGCAGCCAGGCTGTGGTTTCCTCGCTCAGGGCAGTGCCCGTGGCGAGATGTGCTCCACCCACAGATTGGCTTTGGTAAGAGAGCAGAGGATTGTGGGGGCTGGCAAAGGCACGGGGCGGGGGGGCGGAAACGGGGCCCCTGCACCACTGTGGGCTCCCGTCCAGACGTGGCCTGCGAAGCCCCCAGCGTGCAGCTTGGGGGATAAGGTGCTCTAGGAGCAGATGTTGTTATGGGCTCAGCTATCTGCAGGGGCTGCTGCGAGGGAGCCCCGGTGAGCTGAAGGTTGGGATCTCTGAGTGGCTGTGACCCCTGGATCTGATGGGTGCTGAAGGCTGATCTGCAGAGCCCAGACCTGTTGGAGTGGCCGAGGACTCCCATCCCCCGGGCCTGGCCTCTCCCGTGACTGCACCGGTCAAGGGGAAGCCTGGATTCCCGTTCCCTTGCAGACAGGTGGGCGCTTCCCTGGAAAAAACAAGGTGCAGCCAAGTCAGAGGCCAGCCGAGTCCTGCCAACCCCGAGTCGGTCTCCCGGGAAGCCCGGAGCTGCGCAGCATGTGACACCTCCAGCTAGCAGGGCTGAGGAGACATCCACCATTTCCGGAGCAGGGACTGGAAGCATTTGGCAATGGACCTTGCATGAGGAGGCACATCCCCACAGTGCAGGGGGCAGCCAGCGGCCTGAGCGTGGAAGCACCCACCCGAAGCCCTGGGCCCAGCACCCCAGGGCCTGCTGTCCCGCACGCTGGCAGACACCCTGCTCAGGTCCTGCTGCCTGCAGCCTCCTCCAGAACAGCCCTGCTCCCAACGTGTTTCCCCCGTCTACCTCCTTGATGCAGAGCTGAGCACCCACCGAACCTATTGGTGTGGGTGGGGGGTCTCTGGCAGGCTGGAGAAGCCCTGCTATTTGCACAGGGCTGGAAGCAGAAGCTCTGGGAAGGCCAGAGATGGGGAGGCCTGGCACCTGTCTCCCACAGTGCCCAAATCACTGGTTTCACCTTCACAGCCTGAGGGATTTCAAACCTCCTAAACTGGCTTTTTCCCAGACTTTGGGAGCAGGGGGCTGGCCTCGGGCTTGGAGCTGTCCTGGCGGTTTCTCCCTACATGCCCAGCATCTCCGAGCTGACTCGCTCCAGCACAGTAGCCGCCAGTCCTGGGGTCAGGCTGCCAGCCGGCTTGCAAAGGGCATGTCCGGAGCCAGGGGGGAAGGGGCAGGGATCCCATTCAGCAGGTGACACGGAGGTGCACCAGTGCCTGTTCAAGCCCACCCCACCCAGACTTTTTCTGGGGCAGAATCCAGCACAAGTCAAGGAGTCATTTCAGCAACTGGTGGGAGCAGTAGGTTGTTTTCCTTTATGCAGGCCCCATTCCCACAGTATCTGAGCACCCCGGAGCTCTGTTCAGGATAGGCAGGGGAGTCAGCCCTACTGGGGTGACAGTGGCTAAGTGACTTGCCCAGGGACATGGGTAGCGGCTGTGGCAGAGCAGAGAACTGAACCCTGGTCTCCTGATGCCCTAACCACTAAACCTGTCTTCCTTGCGAGGGTGTATGGCTGCAGAGGGAGTATGACGCACACTTTTACTGGTGTGTTACACTGGCCACCGGTCTCCTAGCTCCCAGGGAGGGAAGGATGCCGCAAAGGCAGGGACTGAGAGGCAGGCAGTCATCGGTGCCCGGTGACGCCGGTCTCCCCTCTCCCTTCCAGTTGTCCTGGTGGTCGTGTTTGGGATCTGCTGGGCCCCCTTCCACATGGACCGGCTGGTCTGGAGCTTCGTCTCCAACTGGACGGGCAACATGCACGAGATGTTCCAGTACATCCACGTCATCTCGGGGGTCTTCTTCTACCTGAGCTCGGCCACCAACCCCATCCTCTACAACCTGATGTCCACCCGCTTCCGGGAGATGTTCAAGGAGGTGATGTGTCACCAGCACCTCCAGCGCCTCGGCTCCCGCAAGTACTCGCCCAGCGTCACCCGGGTCACCACCCGCAGCACAGTGTGCGAGCACTTGCCCAGCGGCAACGGGCTGCCCCTGGCCGACCTGGAGGAGTATGAGATGGACAGGGAGGGCGAGCATGGCAACGAGCACGGGGAGGTCTTTGACTGAGAGCCTTCCCCACCCACCAGGCTCGGATGTGACCGCAAGGGGATGGGACAGGCCAGGACTGGCTTTCGCGGTCACCCACTCCCATCTCCCCTGCATTGTGGTACCCGCTAACACTGCCAGACACAGGCTTCTGTCTCCATCTCACCCCCGCTGGGCTGAGCTTGCCAAGGGCCTCCGGATGGTGAGGGAAGGGACCTGTCAAATTTGGGTTCACACTAAGAGCATCAATTCTTCCTGGCTGCTGGCCCACACCATGGTCTGTGCCCTTGCTGCCTCCATGGGCAGAGCCAGAGCCCCTGGCGTGGCACTGAGCGCGGGCGGGTTGTATCAGGAACATTTGGCAGCCCCGAAGCAGCTTCACAGAAGAGGAAGGGAGCAAACGGAGCCTGGTGAGCGCAGCTGAGCCCAGGGGTTGAAGCCGACAGAGGTCTGGGGTTGCAGCCACTGCTACACCTGAGAAGCAGAGACTCGGATGGAGATTCAGCCACGCAGAGGGCTGGTGCATGGCCATGGGGCAGCGCTCTCCCCATACTGCTGTAGGCCAAGGAAAATCTGTCTCTCTGCTGCCTCTGTCCCCTGCTGATCCCGGGCTGGGTCTCCCGGTGCACTGTGCTGCCCTGCCTCTCTGGTGGGCCAGCCCCTGGCTCCCCATGCCCAGCTGGCAGTGAGGGCACATCGCAGCAGGGTGGCATTGTGGCAGGATCACACCGTGATGTGCCAGCCAGAACCGGGTGGTTTGGGGCTGTCACAGCCGGGGTGCTAGTGTGTCAGGCATGCGGCCCAGTTGTTCACAGCCCTCAGTGCAGCCAGGGATCAGCTCTGAATTCTTTACCGATTTCTTCCCATACCGGCCCCATTCACACCCCGCCAGGCTTCCTCCTACCCCGACCCCCTCCTTCCTGCAGCCCCACCCTCCTCCAGTGCTCTGGAGTGCACACAGCATATCGCAGCAGCCGGCAGCGGTAGGCTGGCCCGGACATGTCGGGGGGCAGCGGAGGGTCAGGGGAGAGGGGGCTGATGCGGAGGGAATTGGCAACCGGATCTCGCTGGGGCTGAGCGGACGCAGCGGTTCAGTGTCTCCCAACAGGCCCGGGGCTTGACGGCTCTGACTGAGGATGGCAGGGTCAAGGGCAGACTCTTCCCCAGCTTGTCCACGCTTATGGCACCCACGGCCGCCTGGCTGTCCCAGCACATCGCGGCTTCACCGCCTCTGCTTCGGATGAGGCAGGACCACCCCATGTCCCCTTCCCTCCGTCCCTAAGACACCATCCATCCCCCAGACCGGGCCAGGGCCACGTGGTGGAGGGGGTGGCTGCTGCCCTGGAGTGTGTATCCTCCCCGTGAGGACTCGGGAGACTTCCTGCCGGCTGCCAGGCCCCCCTGTGCCAGCTGCTGGCTCCTCTGCTTCCCTGGCAGCTACCCCCTGTATTCCCCCTGTGAGCACTTTTGGGAAGCGAGGGAATCCCTCTCCCCGGTGTCTGTGAGCTGGTTGTCACTTGGCTTGAGAATTAAACCCGCAGAGATTCTCGCTGGTCCTTCGAGTGCTTTTTTCACGTGCTCTCCGCCCCGTGCCAGCGGTGTCCCAGCCGGATACGGCCATTGCAGCCTATCCTATGTAGAGAAGCCGTGTCCTCTTCTCCTTGTCGTGTGTTTAGAAGAACCCGGTTCTCCCTCGGTCCTGGGAATTGCCCAGAGTCGTGTAACAGCCTTCACGTGGCTTGCTGGAGAGTGGGGCGGTGTCACTTCTGTCACCTCTGCCACACGTGGCCTGGGGACAGAGCAGTGCAGGGGGTAAAACCCAGCAGGGGCTTGCAGGGAGCGCAGTGTCCAGCTGGGCATGGAGGGAGGCAGAGGAGCTGCTGCATCCTCCAGCCTGCACTGGACAAGGGCATTGTGTTGTCCTGGGGTTACTCCTGGCTTCCTCCTGATCCCGCAACCGGGGCCCTGAGGCTAGGGCCTGAGCCAGGCCGACATGGGCTGGGGGCGTGCCACCAGCTTCTTGCCCAGATCACCTTGCGCCACATCGTGGGTGTCTGGGGACTGTAAAATGGGCCCAATCCAAGCACCTGGGCAGACCGGACTCTAGATTTGCCCCTCCAGTGGGGTGGCCCAGCCCTGCCGTCTGACTTTCACCCGGCTGAGCAAATCATGTTTTGGCCTCTGGTTCAGAAAACCTCGGGGCTGGCTCCTATCCTGGTCTTTGGAGCAGGAGGCCCAGCAGCAGAGCTCTTGGGGGGCTTGGGCTGTCAAACGCCCTGACGTCTGGGGACGTATGAGGAGGGCACGCTATGTGGCTCCCTCACACAGCCGCCCCATAACCCATCCCTCCTCATCGCTTAGGTGCCAGGCCTAACGACCTGTAAGGACCAGATCCAAACCTCCCCATTGCTTTCATGCGGCCTTGGTGCCGGTGCACAAAGTCAAACCCAGGGCTCTTTCCCTGGCCCTGCCACTGACACACTCTGTGGCCTGGGTCAAGTCACTTGGCCATTCCCCCGGCCTGGCACAGCACAGTGCAATGACTGCAGAGCTATGGTGAGGAGCCACCACCAAAGTCTTGTGAAGGGGGCAAGGGGGGTCATGGTGACAGAGCAGGACCTCTATCAGCAGTGGCTGAAGCCTGACACACGGACCATGAGCAGCCACATCCCAGCAGAGTCTGTGGCCTCCAAAGTGCACCAGAGAAGCAGCGCCAGGTCATGAACGAACAATTTCTGAGCTGCTCTTCAAAGGCAGCGTTCGGAAAATGTCACTGAATGTCAAGGAGCGCGGCTGGAGCAGCCACGATCCCTGAGCCAGAACAGGCGATCGATGAGCCCTGGAGATCGATACCCCCAACACCCCCGAGAGCTCTGCCAGCCACGCTGCCGGGACGTGTCTTGCCTCCGAAATGCCACCTGAAAATCTCCAAGCCATCCGGCTGGCAAAGCCAGGGATGCACTGATGAAACTGTTCTCTCCTCTGGTTTCTGGTCCCTGCTAATGAAGTGTCTGAGCACTGTGGGCAGAGCTAGGATTTGGGGGTGGGGGGTGCAGAGGGTGCAGCACGTCATCAAACCCTCTGCACATACAACACACCTATTTTTCCCCAGTTAAAGAGAAACTAAAAGCTTTACCAATAAACGAGGGGGCTAGGGCTACATTACTCAGTTCAAGATCAAAGCAGAAACAAATATAACTTTATTGGAACGTGCACTCATTTGCTAGAGAATAGATAACATTTAAAACACACAAAACATGCTCAGCAAAAAAAGTCTAAAGATATTGTGGCATTTAGTCCTGCAGCCATTATAGGTAGATGTATGTCTCTTGTTGAGAGTCATAAAATAAAATCTAGCCTTCGTGAGCACCTGCACAGTGCATCCAAGACTTCCCTATCAGCATTTCTATGCCTGAGTGAATATGACTACACCTGAGTTAAGTTTTTTAACTAGAGCTAAAAACAGGCTGCAGGAAACAGAAGACACAGTCCTGGGAATGGCTAACCAACAAAACTTCAGAGGAAGGGATTGTTTGAATAGTGGAGTAGCAAGATGAGCAGAAAGGAGAAAGGGTGGTTCACACCTGGGGAGTGGAGAGAGATTAGTAGGAATCTGGAAGAAGATAATGAGCTATGACGTCAATCAACTCTCTCGTTGCTGCTCAAATAGAAATCCCACTGCTCTTCCCAGGCAGCTGGTCTTCAAGTTTAGTGGAACAGTAATCAAAGGGGGGTGAGACTGCACCACTGCCCCCACGGATCCTCCCTTACCGAGCACTGTGGACATTACAAGGACCAGCCAGCCTGACCATGGAGACCCTGCTGGTCTGTCCCGCCTCGCCTTGAGGAGCCCGAGCCAGGTCACTGGGAGTCTTTGCATTCAGGGAGCCTTGGGTCCAGACTGCACTGTGTCCCAGGCTCTGTTTTCACGTCACCGAAAGAATGAGGGAAGGAAAATACAGGAGCCGGTGCCTGAGCCGGGTCTGAAGAGACGCGTTTCCACCAGCCGCTTCCTAGCTCCGGGGGTTTGGAGAGGAGTTGGCATAGGAAACCTCTGCTGTGCTCCCCCACTTCCAGCCTCAGAATCGGGCCCATCCAGGGATGGTCACGACCGGGAAAGCACCCACTTTTGGGATGGCCACTGGGGCAGGGCTTCGCGGAGGAGGCAGCAGTAGCCCTATTAGGAAGACGACACTGGGCTTGGAGAGCCCTCGGCTCGTGAGCTGGGTCGGGGTCAGGGTCAGGGGTCAGGGCTTGTGAAGTCCCCATGCTGGCCAGGGGAGCATTCCCCAGATTCCTGAGCCCCGCGGGGGCAGCCTCCCCTCCTGCATCTTGCAGCATCCTTCACCCCAGGGGGCCACGATCCTGGGAACGAGATGTATGTCCCATGCCCCACATCAAACCCTTGTGCCCTGCAAAACCCTCCCAGGGGACAGTCCCACACAAAGCCACACTTCCCCCAAAGCCCCATTGCCCACAGGGCACTGCTAGGGACCCCCGCCCCTTGCTTGTGGGGGTCCTGTATCACTTTTGAAGGCTGAGAAACCCGGGTGGCAGCAGCGGGGATGATGAATTTGGAGGATGAGGATGGTTATGCAGAATCCAACCCCCCCGAGCTAACCTCGCTCTCCGGCTCGTCCCCGTTCCTGACTTCAGGGAGCTGTTGTTTCTTCCTCATCCTCTCTGAGGGGAAACAGGCCCAGGGTAGCAATGCTCGAGAGAGGGTTCCTAGGTACTGGCGTAACTAATCCCAACTTGATGGCCATTATTTGCCACCCAGCCCGGAGCCCAGAGGGAATGGCTTTTTAATCGCTAGTCGATAGCATTTTATTAAGCAGCAGCAGCTGCGAGAATGATGCCATGGGGCAGTAATGAGATTAATTGGGATGTAATGGCCTCTGCAGTCAGCAGCCCTGGGGACACTCGATGGTGGTTTACCAGAAGCTGGCCCAGCGTCGGTTCCCAGCAAGTGTCCTGCAGCCCAGAGCTGGGTGTTGTGGGGTGGGTGATCCAGCTCCCAAATCCCCTTGCTTCCTTTTCTAGCCTAGCACTGCCTCCTGGGCTGGCCTTGCAAGAGCGAAGGCTGGGGCAGAGCATGAGGAGTCAGCGTCTCTGCACTAGAGAGGCCCCTCAATCCCACCCCCTGCACCCCTACTCCCCAGACCAGCCCCCCCTTAACTCCCCCAGCTCTGGGCTCCCTGGTAGCATTGCACGCAGCTGGGATCTCTACCGCCGTCCTGCTTGTCCACCTTGGGGCCTCTTCTGGGAACTTTGCTACTTACTATTAATCATCATGAATGATTATCCCTCTGCAGCATGGCAGTGCCTGGGGGAAGGGACCCTGCGTGGCTGGGGGCAAGGCAGCGGTCTGTGCCTCAGAGCTGCCCATCCAAAACCACAAGCAGTGCCCTATGGGGTCAGCCTAGTGGTCCATCTAGGCCACATCCTGTCTCTGACAGTAGCAGGGCCGGATGCTACCCATGGAGAGCAACCAACCGAGTATCTCTAGAGTGATATGTCTCCTAATCAATACCCTCCCTTGCCTCCACCATTTATTGGTTTAGAAATGCTGGAGGAAGCCTCTCGAGCTGTTCTGTTCAGTAGCCATTACTAGATCTATCACCAATAAATTTATCCCGTCCCTTTTAGAACCCGGCTCTCCACCTCCACCCCCTCCCGTGGCAACAAATCTCACAAGTTAACGACGTGTTGCATAAAAAAGTCCTCTCGTTTGTTTTAAGCCTGTCACCTACTCGTTTTCAGGCTATTATGGAAACGTGCATGAAATAACAGCAAACTATCAGCTAAGGTGAAGATGAGACTTGTGTGCCGTCATCCCTGCTTTATGCTTCTGAAGCACAGGCTACATATGCTGGGCACATCAAGAGACCAATCAGCTTTCACATGAGATGTGTGTGTAAGAT